TAGAATTCAAATAGCATGAGGTCCCTTGTATCCGGAAAGGACTTGGGCGAGTTAGAACTAGAGACAGGCTCATCAGTTTGGCAGCTCAACAATTACCTGTGTGTAGAGGTCCGTTCAGCGAAATCGCCTGCAGAAGCTGCTTGCCTTTCGTTCCATAAGAGCTTGGTGAACAACCGGTAGTTTTCAACTGAGCAAGGCCTCGCTTTTGACAGAGAAGTCTTAACAGGTCAATTGAATGGGCGTTGAAGCTGGTCAGGTAAGGCAAATGGAGAACCAATCGGTAAGAGATCTTCAAATCAGCATATTAGATCAGTGTCAAAGGATCTTGTCGGTTATTTTGGGTGCCTGAATCTTGCGGTTGAGGGCATTTCTAATTATTTCTGATCGGGTTTTGTTCCTTTATATTCCACTTCAAGGTGCTTCAATTGATGATCACCTCGGGCTGGGTGCCTGAATCTTGCGGTTGAGGGCATTTCTAATTATTTCTGATCGGGTTTTGTTCCTTTATATTCCACTTCAAGGTGCTTCAATTGATGATTCACCTCGGTCGCTACTGGTAGATTTTGTTGGTCTGTTTGGGCTTGTGAGTGCCACGACAATTTAGTTGAGGGAGAACCAACTCGGCTAACACAAACCGTGCTCCACACTTGCCAGTTCTACACCTTCTATTCTGTTTACACTGGGATGTCCGGCGATTTCCGCCTCCTCGGTCATCAGTCTCTGTGGACCGTAGTCCTGGCCTCAAAACCTAAATATATTTTGTGTCCCGTGTTGCGCCATTGCCGAGTCTCTCAGTGTCGCTCGATATTCATCTGCGGTTTTTGGGCTGCATAATTATTTTTCTGTGCTTTTTGATTCTGATGAGTAGCTCCCTTGCTGTCTGTCCTATCTTTCAGCGGTAGCACTCTTTCGGTGTCTGTCATGCCACCAGGAAGTAAAAGGGCTGGTTGCCCAAGCTTAGACAGGGAAGTGGAGAGGCAGACGTCAGACCTTCCGGTCAGTAAAGTCTGTCCTATATGGACCCTAGTGTAGTCGTTACACTCAATTGTGTAGACAGTCCTTGGTTCTGTTCGTCGGTAGGCGATCCTTCAATCGCACCTATGTAGAGCTCAGTCTTTTCAACCTGGAAAGATCTTTATATGCTGGTCATGTTTAGAATCCTTCCAAAGACCGATGTTCCTGGTTTATGTGGAATGACAACAGTCCTAATCCATTCCCTGTTTTGCCACTGGTACCACCACCTTTCGCAAGTGACGCCTAATCAAACTAGCTGGGTATCCAGTACTCCGAAGTTTGTTCTTCACTTCAATTCGGGCCGCTGTCCGACCAACGTCTGTGCACAGTGCCCTTGCTCGCCTAAACATTTATGAAACGCTGGCACATCAGGAGGTTTCATACTGTTCCAGTCGGATCTCATTGTCAGCCGTGAGCAAGTGTTCCCCGGTTCCGATCTATTTGGACAAATTTGGTCTGGAGTTCCAACAAACGAATCAATGTATTCTGGACGGTTCTCTGCCACGTTTATTAGTGCGCGTTGCACAGGCACACCACGTAACGATATGGTGCAAGCCAGTGAATTGAGTCCTGAGGTCAAATGGGCTCACGTTCGACTGCATCGTACAACTGGTATTCATCGCAAAATCCTCCAGGACAACAACCTCAGTGGTTTAACCCAATACCTGACAGTGGCAAACCTTCACTGCAAGTCCTAGTAGACCACATGGGGGCCCTAACAGTCTCCAGTTGGATCCTGGGCAGCATGCAGCAAACAAAAAAAGCGAGGTTGTTGTGCAATCAGGTATAAGAACAACCGTCCAGGATACATTGATTCGTACTCACTGAAAATATGTTGTTCACAAGCATACCTGTGCGAAACGTCGGACCTCCTGGTGTCGTTCGAATGTGTACATTGATGATTGGGAAAAGGTCAGTACCCGTGCCTCAGTCAAGTTTTACGCAAAGATGTGTGGGAAAATTTACTCCGCTGTTGGGTATCAGCAGTTCAACCAATATCGAAGAGGAATCCTGCCGAAGTAGTACTTCATCCGTACCTCGGGGTGTGTCTCGTATGCGAGACAAGTGGACATCAGAAGCTAATGTGTCCACGCGTCTGAAGTACAGAGATGTGCTTCACGATTGTTCACACTATAAACGGTTGAAGAAGCCGGCTCGAATTCCGAATGAACAAATGGAGCAAGGTGCCTTGATCGGAAAGGACTTGGGCGAGTTAGAACTAGGGACAGGATTGTCAATTTGGCAACTCAACGGTTATCTGTGTGTAGAGGTCCGTTCAGCGAATTTCCTCGCCTTTTAGCCACTCAGTCGACACCCAACACTCCTGTGCTCGGTTCGCCAGCTGCAGCGGGTTCGTACATTGTTCGGGTTAGGCTTTCTCATAGAAGTCCAATTGCTAGTATCAGGAAGGTCAAATTCCTAAAAGCAACCCAGAACGCTCGGGACCTAATGAGGCCCTAAAAGCTCACGAAAATCTCAAGAGGAAAGCCGGCAAGAATCCGGGCCAATCAAGCATTCGATCAACTTAGAAACAGCCAAGATCGATGGAAGTAGAATTCAAATAGCATGAGGTCCCTTGTATCCGGAAAGGACTTGGGCGAGTTAGAACTAGAGACAGGCTCATCAGTTTGGCAGCTCAACAATTACCTGTGTGTAGAGGTCCGTTCAGCGAAATCGCCTGCAGAAGCTGCTTGCCTTTCGTTCCATAAGAGCTTGGTGAACAACCGGTAGTTTTCAACTGAGCAAGGCCTCGCTTTTGACAGAGAAGTCTTAACAGGTCAATTGAATGGGCGTTGAAGCTGGTCAGGTAAGGCAAATGGAGAACCAATCGGTAAGAGATCTTCAAATCAGCATATTAGATCAGTGTCAAAGGATCTTGTCGGTTATTTTGGGTGCCTGAATCTTGCGGTTGAGGGCATTTCTAATTATTTCTGATCGGGTTTTGTTCCTTTATATTCCACTTCAAGGTGCTTCAATTGATGATTCACCTCGGTCGCTACTGGTAGATTTTGTTGGTCTGTTTGGGCTTGTGAGTGCCACGACAATTTAGTTGAGGGAGAACCAACTCGGCTAACACAAACCGTGCTCCACACTTGCCAGTTCTACACCTTCTATTCTGTTTACACTGGGATGTCCGGCGATTTCCGCCTCCTCGGTCATCAGTCTCTGTGGACCGTAGTCCTGGCCTCAAAACCTAAATATATTTTGTGTCCCGTGTTGCGCCATTGCCGAGTCTCTCAGTGTCGCTCGATATTCATCTGCGGTTTTTGGGCTGCATAATTATTTTTCTGTGCTTTTTGATTCTGATGAGTAGCTCCCTTGCTGTCTGTCCTATCTTTCAGCGGTAGCACTCTTTCGGTGTCTGTCATGCCACCAGGAAGTAAAAGGGCTGGTTGCCCAAGCTTAGACAGGGAAGTGGAGAGGCAGACGTCAGACCTTCCGGTCAGTAAAGTCTGTCCTATATGGACCCTAGTGTAGTCGTTACACTCAATTGTGTAGACAGTCCTTGGTTCTGTTCGTCGGTAGGCGATCCTTCAATCGCACCTATGTAGAGCTCAGTCTTTTCAACCTGGAAAGATCTTTATATGCTGGTCATGTTTAGAATCCTTCCAAAGACCGATGTTCCTGGTTTATGTGGAATGACAACAGTCCTAATCCATTCCCTGTTTTGCCACTGGTACCACCACCTTTCGCAAGTGACGCCTAATCAAACTAGCTGGGTATCCAGTACTCCGAAGTTTGTTCTTCACTTCAATTCGGGCCGCTGTCCGACCAACGTCTGTGCACAGTGCCCTTGCTCGCCTAAACATTTATGAAGCAACACTGGCGAATGCCGACTTCGGATGGGCAGACGAGTAGTGTCAGTTGGCTTCTCATACACTGGTATTTGATCCCCCCTGACCTTGCGTCATGCAATCTAAGAAGGCCAATGTACCCGAAGTCGACTGTCTCCATTCTAAGGTTGATGTGAGGATTCAGGCCATTCAGGTAATTGTAAACCTCACTGACCTTGTCTTCTTTCGTCACGACGAATGTATCATTTAAATAACGCTAGAATATCTTGGATGGATGTGGGAATCTGGCTATAGCTTTCTGTTCGAAATCTTCCATATAAATATTTGCCCAAAACTGGGGATATCGGGGTTGTAAACCACGCGGTAGAAGATGAAATGGATGAGATCCAGGTATGCTTTCTGCCTTCCACTATTTCATCTACCGTAAGAGGTGTCCGTCCGGAAAGGTTGGTGTCTACTAGTAGCAATCGGTTGGTTATTTCCAAAGAGTCCTTTTTAGACGCGTTTGTATGTAACGAATTGACATAAAACTTATGAGAATTTCATCTAGTTTCAGAGTGACACACCGTATGAATTCTTCCTGTAAGTACTGGATTCCCCAGTGAGGGGTTTTAAAATACCATGCCACGAATCTGGCCAGTTCATGGGGTGGGAACCTAATCCGTCTACTATCGGCCTCACCAAGACATATGGTTTACTGATTTTTGATGGGCCCTAAAGACGTGGTTGGATTGCACCAATTACCCTCCCTAAGTTGTTAATCGCTGACCGCAAATATCTGCGGACGTCAACTGTACTCCTATTTATAGATGAAATGTCGGTCTGCCGGTAAGAACCCTCACCTAGGCTTTGCTTGACCTTCTGTAGACAACCACCCTTGCTCATGACAACAATGGCCTTAACCTTATCCGCCTTTGCGATGGCTAGTTTGTTTACCTGTTGCGGTTCGATCACGCGGTGAGCAAACAATAAGATATGCGAAATGTGACGATATTCTATCCTCAGCTATGTTGCTTGATCCAGACTCCTAGCACAGCGGATAGTAAGGAGACGAAAAACCTCACGATCATGGGAAAAAATGACAATGCATATATATATATATATATACATTTATATATGTATATATATATATATATATTCATAGTTTGACCTTGAGAGATACGGGAAGTTCGCTGGCACACAAAAAGTACAGAGTTTTTGGGGATTTCGATATCCCCAACATTACCTGTTTTAAGTTTTTTTTAGCGCTCTTCGCCTTGCTGATGTAATATCTGGAGCTCCTAAATGCTGGTACTTAAGTTCTGTGGCGAGTTATAACCGTAGCTTCTCCGCCTTCACTGGCTCAACCTTTTGATACACAGATTCAGCACTAGAGATCATTTTTTCCACCGTTATCACCCTTTTCTCCACTTAGCAATTTATTCGATAAATCTACTACGCTACAATAGCTTGTAAGCGATTCAGGCTTAGTTACGGGCAGTGAAGCATCGGTGTTGAACACTGATGTCATGCTGTCGATGATGATGTTGTTGAGTTATGGGCTCAGTAAAGAGCAGTCTTAGAATGTAGCTTTTCGAACTTGCATACTTGTCTCTCTCTGAAGTGTTGTCCTTGGATAGCTTTCACTGCTGTTGCTTCAGTTTTAGGTAACCTGCCTTGCGTGCCCTTCAATTACTTGGTCGGCGAATAGCACTCATGTGCTCGCCAAGTGCAGCGGGTTCATACGTTGTTCGGGTTCATAGAAGTCAAACCCTTATCGAATCCAAGACGACAAATGCCAGATACCCATTTAACTTGGAGTAAGGTGCCCAGTTTCTATATCCGTCTCACAGATATACTACCAATTGCTCGTCTTTGTGTGGCATCGGTCAGGTTAGATTAGTGCTCTCGTTCAGTCGTCTTCATCCCGCAGACATGGTGCTTGAAGACGTGAATCCAGATTTTTTCTACAGATACGCATTCATAACCCCGTCATCCAGCCCTTCAGTCGTATATATCGCCATGAACGACAACTCATTGTCAGAGTCTCAACTATTGGCATAACCATCGCGTAATCTTCGTTTCATCAACCAACTTCTGGATACAGGTGACCCGGGAGATGTCTACGACGGTTCATTCGATAGTCCTGAACTTAATAGTTTCAGGAGAATGGTGATCCGACCTACAAAAAAACAGAAGCAGCAGTGTCTTTAGTGGTGCTCCACGTTACGATGGGCTGGTATTACGTGAACCGGTTACCTAGGACCTGTTGTACGAGTTGTCCGAACAGAAAAAGACCGAAGTGTGACAAGAACGATACTTCTATCTGAAACAACTGCCCGAAGCGCTCTCGTTTTTCACAGTCCGTGAGCTGGCACCATTTGATGGAGTTCCACGGTTTACTCCATCCATGGCCTCGACCACTGCAGCTGCTGTGTGCAACGAGTTTGAATGCCATTACGTCAACCTATTCGACGACTATGTACAGTTCCACCACAGAGAATGGGCAACGTACTGCATGCCTACGTGCGCGAGCTGCCTTTGAACAGTTTCACAATCAAAACTGGCTAATCATCTGCTACAATGTGTTCAGACCCTAAAAGCATAAGCCCATCTGGACTATTCTCTATCATGCTTCGTCCTGCTCCGTGAATTGCGTCACCTACTTCAAGTTGGGCTGCAACTCTATTAGCTTCTTTCAGAAATCCACCTGTCCTTACACGCAACTAAAGTTTGTCTTCTGACTGGAAGCTTTCTATCGTGGATCCGGATGATTGTTAACCTTTCTCGCACGTCAAGTGAAAGCGCTGAAGCAATTGGAAACCATCACGCTCGAGTTAAGTAACAAAGTGATAAAGATGAATAGCGTGCACAGTTCCGCGAAAGGATCTCCAGAATGGAAGCATGACGTGATTTACAGCGGTTTCCTCCGTCAATGTGCCTGATTCAACACGTGGGGAACGTTTAAAAGCTAAGTCCGTTATTTTTTGTCTGGATCAATCCAGACAGACGGGCGATTCATTACCTTATCCATTATCAGTCCAAACGCACGACGGGATATTCTAAGTGCAGCCGTCGCGACTAATGGATCATATTTGGAATGACGATGCTATGGACATTTATCCCTTACCCTACGGATTTCTGGCCAAAGCACCGGAAACAGGTCTCATCCGAGCCTTAACGGCCATGCAGTATGAGCATCTCCGCGCCGGGTTGCTGGTCGACAACACACGGTTGTTCAAATGGCCCACATGGCATACTCGAAAATCCTCGTCCAGCGACAGCACACCCACTCATGAACTAGGCGTTCCCTACGATCACATTTATTTCCCATGAAAACGCAGATGTAGAGTTGACTGCACCAGTCACGGGCACCTTTAGGAGCGGATTTCGTGACATCCACTTGCAGAAACCCACCTTACTTTGTGCAGATGCCTATGTTCTTATACAAGCGTATAAACCGTGCCCATGTTTTTTGCCATGATGCTCGCTTTGAGCTTAGCAAAATTAAACCACGGCGTGTGATCTGGAGCATGTATACAAAACACGGCTTAGGTAACACGGTTGCCTCCCAGAAATTTCCGATACTCCTGAGACCCATTAAAATCACTACCACTACCATATGATGTCAAAGTGATTGAAACACCTCATTCTTGGAGGCGTCTTCTCGCCGCACAGTTTCTCCATATGCTGGTGAATTTCTCCAGTCGACTTTTTTGCTTTCAACACATTTATCAGTGACCTCATCCCAACAAGCTTCTCTAAGTTCATCTCGCGCATTATTCAAAATGATTCACTCCCAAACGGTTGCTATCACTCAGTATGTATTTCATCATCAAAAATCAGATTCACAACCAAGTGCCTAAAACCTTCCACAGAACGATGTTGATTGTCGTACGCAGGGCTGGTCCGACTGAGGGTCCAAATCGCTTGACCAAGACGAAAGTTGATTCCAATTGGCCACTGAAAGTGCTCGCCTGAGTTCGCCACATCAAGTGGTGTCAGACAAGCCCGTCCTCTTTCACCTTTTGTCTTCAACTTCGTCATTCATACAGTTATAGAAAACTCACTACAGCTTCTAATGTCTGTGGGGTTGAAGTTCTCCCGGGACATCCGCTCACAGATGTCGAGTACGCAGAAGTCACAGCTATTCTTGGATCTGGTGTCGTGGTAATGCGAACAATATTAGATAACCTAAATAATTCTGACTCACGGTTTGGTATGCGCTTTACATCTGAAAAGTGCAAAGCCTCAATCCCTAGCCTCATGCTTTCGGGTGAGCCACTTGAGGTAGTAGACAAGTTTATCTACCTGGGCATCTGTATCACTTGCGGTGGTCTCGCGAAATATGATATTTCCATCCGGATTGGGAAGGCCGGACCAGCTTTTGTGAACCTGCATCACCTGTGGCGTAGGCTCAAAATCAGCTTATCCGTCAAGGGTCGAGTGTAGAATGCTGCAGTGCTACATGTGTCAGAACTATGGTCTATGCGCACCCAGAACGTCAGAAGACAGTGTTCGACCACCGACATTTTCGGAGCATTGCCCGAGTCTGGTGGGAACACCGGATCAGCAATACTGATGGTATTTGGAAGGTGAACTGATCACACTGCTTAGGTTGCGCTGGCTTGGTCACACTCCGTACGCAAGTCGACCGACTTCCTCGGAGGGTTTTTTTTACAGAACCACGCGGAGGGTGAAAACGAGCCAGGAGATGTCAAACAATGAATTGGCATCGAACTGTGAGAGCCATTACCAACAAACCCAGCTGCGCTGATCATTGCCGTCTTCATCACTTGTCAGACATTCTCAGATGATCCAGTCGCCCCCTCAATAGCGCTCGTGCATCCAAGTTACTGCCTTCAATACATAGCTCCCTTCCCAATACCCGCATCTGAAAGTCCACTTTCGGTCCTGTATTTACGAACCAATTTATCAGCTCCCCCCTCCAATACGCAGCTACCTCCCCAAATCGTTGGTGGCCAGCTGCAACCACTGTACGACAAGTGCGCAGTTCTTTCAGCTGACAATAATAATAATTGAACGTTGAAGCCGAGCTTTTTCCTTCCTTCCCATAGTGTAAACCAACCAAGTCACTTCACAGCTAAGGTTTATTTGATAGAATCTCATTGTCTGAAATTCCGACATAAGCGAGACCTTGGGTTCCTGAACATCGTGCATGTATCCATCAACATACGGTGTCTGTTTCGTGCCAGCTACCTGTCGGCATTTTACTTTTTCGAATATTGCTTGTCTGCGAACCCTTAAGTGTGGAGTGGTCATACAAATTTGATTATTTTCGAGCGTTCTATACACTTGGTACAACCTTGGTGGTTTTACTCGAACTTTTAGCTTGTTGCAGGGGTTCAGGTCGACAACTCAGGTAATACTTAGCCATTGTTTTGGTGGAGGAAATCAATCTGAATATCCAACCGTGAAGGCAGTGAGGGTTTGGTCCACTGCATCTCCATAACACTGTTTGATGTTGAACAGCTTACAGGATTTCGCCTGATGCCTCGCGAAACCCAGCTCCTAGGCATGCTAAGTTGGGCAAGCGCCAAGTGACGCTGTAGACGTTACCATTGTCGAAGCCATGTCCATTCACGCGGTCCACTTTTTCCCGTCTAGTGGTCAGTCACCCTCATATCAGTAGTTCACGTATTGAGCAAGATTGGTACGGTGTATTGGTGCTGGTATTTCACTGATATTTGACTACTTCTTCTCCCCTTCCAGGTGAACCCTATGGCAACTGAGTTTGTGTTCAAGACCCAGACCGGGAAATCCAGTGATAAGAGAATGACTTATAAAACATACAAGCAAATTTTGAATGCTGAATCCCAGGTTTGTTTTCGGGTCTTTTTACATCTGTCTCCTGTCATTCTTCCTGTATACACACACGGGACCATAGTATCGCCCATGGATTATATTGAGGAATATGAAAAGGTGAAATGTGTAACAAGTTGTTTGTCGCCTGATCGCTTTTACACGTTTGGACATTGAACAGTCGAAGAAATAGACTCGCTTGAAATGTATCTTGGTTGGCGGAAGCCGTCATTCTGCCCTGTGGGCGGAGATACTGTTCAGTGGTTCTGCAGTAGAAAGATGATAGGGGATAGTCAGCTGAGTTTCCATAAAATCTTCCAATGCCCTCCACCTATCAGCCCCCGGTCATGACGGTTTGCGACTTACATAGCTATATTTGTACACGACAACGAGTAGATTGATATATCGTTTGCCTGGCTACTCCATTAGCCATTGCGTAGAAGGCCGGGTCGGAGAAGCCATTGCTTCGTAAATTTATCAGTCTGCGCCACTCAATGTTAGTTTTATCAGCCTTTTACTCGATGCGCTTCAGCAAGCAAAAATAGTTCTCTCCGAATTTCGCTGTTTGTTTGATTGGGACTGATAATTGCCCCACTAGTCTCACCGGTGGACTGTTCACGCCCGAGTGACATGATGTCGATGATGTCTTGCTATTCCAACTGAGTGTCATTCGCTTCTGGGTGAACCTGGCACACTGAATTATGCCGAGTAAAGATTGCGCAGAGTAAGTTTGTCACACAAAATCGATTGCATGTGAATGCGCATGGACCGAACATACATGTGTACGTTCGTAAGACGCATCCTCTAACTGTTTCATCGGCAGCCCATCGGGTGTGACTCGATATTTCAAGTGATTGCTCAAAGTCATAATTCACGGGCGATGATCGATAAAGAGCAACTTCTATGGAGGACTTTTCTACTCTTCAGGAGTTGATGCTGAAAGGATACTCTTGTATAAAGATCACTCGATATTACAGTATACAATCTCGTAGAAAAAACGTGTACCAGTAACCTTACCCATCCTTTCGTCGACATCTCAAGCCTGTAATCTGTTATTGTGTATGGGACGAAGTGTCTTACATTTTTATTTGTTTTGCATTGGATAGTGTGTCATAATTTCTGCATTTATTGGTGTAGCATTTATCAAAGTAAACACCGGTACTTTGTTTCAATCCCCTACTGTAATCTATATGACGCTGGTGGTGGAGGAGTACACCCATGTGCCAACTTTGTTTCTCTGAGAATAAGATTATTGGATCCAGTGAAAAGGACAGTAAGTCGCAGTCATCCGAATTCACCCTAAAATAACGGTAAGAGACCAGCGAATATACACTCATTTGCAAACCAATTTGGTTTTTTCGAGAGACTCACGTGGAACCCAGCTGAATCTCTCGTTTGTGATGTTCTCAGCAACCTTATGAGTAGTACATTACAAAGATATACAAGTATCGCGATATCTCGAATATCGTAGCGGCTGAAACATGAGGCGGCTTGGTCAGCACACTCAGTCACCTGAGAACACCACAAACGAGAGATTCAGCTGATTCCAGGTGAGTCTCTCGAAAAAAAAACCACATTAGTTTGCAATGAGTGTATTATTCGCTGGTCTCTTACCGTTATTTTAGGGTGAATTCGGATGACTGCGACTTACTGTGAGAGACTCACGTGGAACCCAGCTGAATCTCTCGTTTGTGATGTTCTCAGCAACCTTATGAGTAGTACATTACAAAGATATACGGTAAGAGATTAATTTAAAGCAGCTTTGAGATGAAAAATCATCTTATGGTGCCTTCTAGGGAGGCCCTACCACCCAACCTACACCAGTTGGCTTGACACTTTAAGCGCTACTTGTGAATACAAACTTGCAATACGTTCATTGAGAAACAGCCATATGAGGGTGGAAGCATGTATGGAAATGGGTTATTGGTCCGGAATTCGCCGAATCAAAGAATATGACGATGACTGGCTGTGTGTATATACCTACTGAAACGCTGCGGAAAGGTGGTTGTGAAATTACTTAGTGAATTTTGGTGGAAAAGGTTCTGTTCAATCATAGCAGGGACGGTTCTCAAGGTTCCGCCACTGGGTCATTATAATCGAATTGTTGGAATTCGCACGTAGATCCTTCGCTTCCAAAGAGTTGACATGATCGGTGTAGGTTATAAAGATTTTTAATGGAATATAATTGGCCAACAGCGCCGTCCGTCTAGGAGGGACGGATCGGCCACCTGATCACATAAGACAACTACTTGTTCGAAACCAAAATAATCTGGTAACCTGATGACACTAAACAGTCACTCACTGTGATAATGTAGGAGTCTTTGCACATATTTCGCATAGTTGGGTTTTGTGAATTACAACAAATGCTTTGGTTCGTATGGACCAAGTGTAGAGGGATGGCACTTACGATAACTGCCATATTATCACTGTGCCCACTGTTGTAACCGAGAACAGGTTGTCTGGCTGTGTTCGTCGGTGAAGCACTTACTGCGATTGTGCGCCGTTGTATTTTGGGCTTTCTTTGAGGGACTGAAGAGTTCTGTACACGGTCTGTTGTACACGCGTACTCAAATGGTAGGCTAGTCTCTTAAAGTATAAGCACGTGGATATTGGTTATATTTGGGCACTTGGGGAAATAGGTTTTCTCAGGTTTCAGTAGCATTTGTTATGAGCCCCCTCGAGTAGCTGTTTCGTCTCATATAGTCGGGAATTCTATCTAGTTCTGACTCCATGATGCTATCTAAGTAGTTTTTTTAAGTTAGAGTGCACGAGACTTCGCTCTCGATTCAATAGAATAGAGTCCTTTAAATTGATATGCATCCTAAGTGGTCCCTTTCATAACTGTGAAAATTAAGTAAGGGGCGCGATGTACATAATGTAGAACAACCGCTGCTGACGCTTATAGCATTTCCTTCACACTCAGGCTAGGTGATAATGATCGAAAAGCCATCGTGTGAGTTCATATAGCAATCAACTATCTACATGTACCGCCAGCTCAGACACTGCGAGAGCGTCCGCGTTACTCCAAATATGCGCGGCTTTCCACTTAACTGGCAATCCTACAGCGGATGCTAACCAACCATGTGTAGTATAAATCCATTACAAAGCTGTAGTTTTCTGCTTCCACATTACCCCAACTAAAAATTTTTGAGCTCCCAGCGGTTTCATCTGCAATATGTTCTCTGATCAAGACGCTCTCTGGTTCCATGATCATTTTGGAACTAGTGAACCTTGCCTACGCCCATACCATCGTCGCAACTGTCTGTAACAATTTTGATCCACAGATTGGCCTCGAACACCGAAAGTTGTGAACAAATCTCACATCATCGAAATAACATAAAACTACTGTTCTGCAACACGATAGACAAAATAAGGTTTGAGTCACTCACTCACATGATTCCCGTTACTTCGTGCTGAACAGAAGTCAATCGCCAAACACCCCTTGTCAGGGAAGATCACTCCTGAAACAAAGCCGCCTGACCCGTGTTCGATCGCTCCAGAGACGTTTTATATGAGCCGACTGTTGTTCATCGCTAACCACACCGATACCGACACGACGCTCCAACTTTGGGCATAACGAGCGATCTGGTTGATCTAAAACGGTAAACGGACAGAGCCGTTTTTCGCAT